TTCACCTTCTTATTTAGCTTCTCCAAAATCACGAATTATAGGCTCAATGTCCTTTAATTATGGCTAGAATCCACTTATGAGTGAGTACATACCATATTCCTCTTTTGAGGGCTGGGTTACCTCACTCAGAAAAGCGTTTTCTATTTCCATCCATTTGTATGCAAAATTCAAGATGTCCTTGTTTTTCACCACTGAGTAAAACTCCAATGTGTATATGTTCCACACCTTCTTTAACCATTCTCCTATTGAGGGGCACCTAGGGTGCACGGGGGTTTGTGGGGGAGAGAGAAGGAAGAAGGGGAGGATTTGGAAGAGCTTGTGGGAATGGGATGGGTGGGATGAAGGAAGGGTGGATATGGGAGCAGAGAAGTAAATATCTTAATTAAGGGAGCCATTTTAGGGTTTGCAAGAGACTTGACTCTAGAGAGGTTCCCAGGTCCAAGGAGAGGTCCCCAGATTGTTCCTTGGGCAGCAGAGGAGAGGGTGCCTGAACTGGCCTTGTCCCATAGCCACACTGATGAATATCTTGCATATCACCATAGAACCTTCATCTGGCAATGGATGGAGATAGAACGGTAGGAGGGAGAACATGAGCAAGGAAGTCAGGACCACGAGGGGTGCGTTCACCCACTGAGACGGTGGGACTGATCTAATGGAGCTCACCAAGGCCAGCTGGACTGGGAGTGATGGAGCATGTGATCAAACTGGACACTCTGAATGTGACTGGCAATGAAGGTTGACTGAGAAGCCAAGGACAATGGCACTGCGTTTTGATTCTACTGCATGGACTGACTTTGTGGGAGCCTGGTTTGTTTGGATGCTCACCTTTATAGACCTGGATGGAGGGGCAGGAAACCCTGACTGTTCTTAGGACTAGAGAGGGAGGGGGAGGTTGGGTGGGGGAGGGAAAAGGGTGGCAGAGAGGAGGTGGAAATTTTTAATAAATAAATAAAAAAAGAAAAAAAGAAAGGACAGTTTTCAGCTTCATATGGAAATACGCGCGCGCACACACACACACACACACACACAAAACCGCAGGGTAGCTAAAACGCTCTGGAATGATAAAAGAACTGCTGGAGGTATCACCATCCCCTTGATCTCAAACTGCACGGCAGAGCTCTAGTAATAAAACCAGCATGGCACTGGCACAAAGACAGACACGTTGATCAGTGGAGTAGAACTGAAGACCCAGAAGTAAGTTTTCACACCTATGGACACTTGATTTTTGATAAAGAAACCAGAAATACATATTGTGAAAAAGAAAGTATCCTCAACAAATGATGGTGGTTAAACTGGATGTCTGCACGTGGAAGAACAGATCTATATTCACCCTGCACAAAACTCAACTCCAGATGAATAAAGGACCTCACCATAAGGCTGGATACACTGAAGCTGACAGAAGAGAAAGGGGGATAACCTTGAACTCATTGGCACAGGAGATGACTTTCTGAATAGAACACCATTAGCACAGGAACTAAGAACAACAATTAAGAAATAATGGGACCTTGTAAAACTGAAAAGCTTCTGCAAGGAACCTCATTGGGACAAATTGGCAGCCTACACAATGAAAAAAAAAAGATTTTTACCAACTACACATCTGATAGAAGGTTAATATCCAAAATATATAAAGAACTCAAGAAACTAGATATCAATAAAACAAATAACCTAATTGAAAAACAGGGTACAGATCTAAAAACAATTCTCATCAGAGGAAACTCAAATGGCTAAGAAACACTTAAATGTTCAACATCTTTAGTCATCTTAGAAATACAAACTAAACTACTTTGAGATTTCATCTTATACCTGTCACAATGACTAACCTCAACAAAACAGTGACAGCTCATTTACCTGAGGCTGTGTAGTAAGAGGAACACTCCTCCACTGCTGGTGGGAGTGCAAACTTGCACAGTGCTGTGGAAATCAGTATGGTGGTTCCTCCATGTGGGACTTGGAGAAAACTGATATACCTCAAGATCCAGCTATTTCCACTCTTGGCATATACTCACAGGATGCGCATCCTGCTGTGGAGACACTTGATCAGTCTTGTTCATTGCAGAACTACTCAAGACAGCCAGAAGTTGGAAACAACATAAATACTCATAAGTAGATGCATGGATAAAGAAAATATGGTTTGTTTACACAATGGAGTATTATTTAGCTGTTAAAAAGTGAAATCATGGCATTCACAGGTTAGAACCAGAAAAATCATCCTGAGTGAGGTAACTCAGACCAAGAGAGACAAATATGGTAGATATGCATCTGTATGTGGATGTTAGCTGTTAACTCATTGATAAATAAGTTACAGTCCATATCACCAGAGAGGTTAGGTATAGAGTAAGAGTCAAATCTCCCTAGAAAGGGGGATTAGAATAGACAGCTATGAATGGTGGGTAGGTTGGGACTGGGACAGGAGGATCAAATAGGTAGAAGGAGGGAAGGAGAGGCAAGAAAGGTAACATAAGGGAGGGACAGCTAAACTAAGGGCCATTTGAAGGGCCATAGAAAACATAATACAGTAGAAGCTTGTTGTGGGGTCCATTCTCCACTGTATGCTAGAATATGTTTTAACCATTGGTTAATAAAGAAGCTGCTTTGGCCTATGGTAGAATATAGATATGTAGGTGGGAAAACTAAACTGAATGAAGGGAGAAAGAAGGCGGAGTCAGACACACCAGCCAGTCTTGGAGGAAACAAGACATGTAGAAAATGAGGTAATGCCACAGTCATGTGGCAATACCCAGATTAATAGAAATGGGTTGATTTAAGATGTAAGAGCTAGTTAATAAGAAGCCTGAGATAATAGGCCAAAGAGTAGGTAATTAATATTAAACCTCAGAGTGGTTATTTTATAAATGGCTTCAGAAACAAGTGGATAGAGAAAACCTGGTCTAGAGGGACCAGTGGGATGCCAAATATTTGTAGCAAGAGAAGCTTTCTAAAATACATAATATATGAAACCTAATGAATATGATCTCAATGAAATAGCCAAATAATAGAGGAGACAGAGCCCCAGCTGGACATCTCTCACCACAAATGAAGCTTCCAGTACCAGGAATGGGTTACATCTAATCGAGTCCTTGGCCAAAGGGATCCTGTGGACACTCCAAACAACTCAGGCTATTGCCAAGGCTATTGGTGGTTCTTCACACATGGATGGCAAGGCCATATTGCTGAAGACAAAACCTACACAACTCATTAAACACAGAGAACTAGAACCGGCGCCTACCTAGAACTTTCCCCCATACAGACTAGTGATCATGGTACTGGAAGGTACTCCGCATGCTACCAAGCAAGAAAGACAGACACCAACCCAATTACAAACCATTTGATGTACAAGAGTGAGCTGCTGTGCGATTCACTGGTACAGTAGGGGTATAAAGCTTGTGGGAATAACCAACCAATATCTGATTCCTTGAGCTGGAACCCATAATCAGTGCTGCCTGAGTGGCCAAGAACCCGAGGTTACGTAGGCCAGGGACCTAGAGGAAAGCCAGATGCTACTGTTCTGCTAAAGCAGTGGTTGTCAACCTTCCTAATGCTGTGACCCTTTAACATAGTTCCTCATGTTGTGGGGACCCCCAACCACAATGTATTTTTGTTATAACTTCATACTTGTAATTGTGCTACTGTTATGAATCATATTGTAAATATTTTTGAAGATAAAGGTTTGCCAAATGATTCGTGACCCACAGGTTAAGGACCACTATGCTAAAGAAAGGTAGCAATAATGCGCTTCCTGATGACATCCTGCTACACTCATAGACCAGCGCCTTGCTCAACCATCATCAGAGACACTTCTGCTAGGTGCAGATGGGAACAAATAGAGAGACCTACAGTCAGACGACACGCAGAGGTCAAGAGATCTTAGAACACTCAGCCCTAAAAGGAATGTCTCCATCAAATCTCTCCCCTTGGGATTCAGTGAACCGCACAGAAGAGAAGGCAGAAGGATGTAAGAACAAGAGGGGATGGAGGGTACCAAGGAATCAAGGTTTTCTGCACACAAGAGGGCTCCGGTACCATATGAACTCACAGAGACCGTGGCACAATGCACAGGGCCCGTACAGGTCTGCACCAGATGGAGTCCCAGCACTGAGAGAGGAGGCAGAGACAGCTCTATCCTTAACCCAGAAGGTATCACCAAGTGATAGCCACTTGCACATGAACATTCAGCTTCCTTCAAGGGAGTCTCAATGGGGATACAAATCACTATAAGAATACGCTGCATTCCTAGGAGTAGATAGCCAACACAGAATGAACTCAGTGGCCCTGGAGTCTCCTTGTATCGTAATGGCAGGTCAGGGCTTTCTTTTTCTTACAGGTTCTTTTTACAGGTCTTTGCATATATATACATATATATATATGTATATATACACACATCCATATATAAATGTTTCTGATTTTATATTTTTATGGAATTCCTGTGTGTGTGGACTTGTGTGCCTTTGTATTATATGCATTTCTTGTACTTATTTTTTGCTTCTTTTTTTCCGACTTGGTTGTTTCATCCTATTCCAATTTGTTTTGTTTTTTTTATTTTATTATTTTTCTTTAAATGCCGTTAGTTTTCTAACAAGTGATGAAAAGGGTGTGGATCTGGATGGGAGGAGAGGTAGAGAGGAACTGGGAGGAGTTGGGGAAAGAAAGAGTTAAATCAGAATGTATGTATGAAAAAATATATTTTCAATAAGAAAGAATCATTCATCTTGGGAGTAGTGACACAAACTTGGTTTTCCCAGCACCAGGAAGGTGCCACATCTCTGCTACTGTTGCAAAAAGTGCCATATTTGTATTAGAAAAGGCATTTCTGAATCACAAACAAAGGAAGCTGTTATCAAATGCTAACAGTGATGTTCCTGCTAAGTTCAAGAGGGAGAACCTGCTCCCGTTGATGGGCAACTAGCCGGAGGCTCATGGAAAAGTACAAGGACTGCTGTTGTGTTACAGTCACTTAGTCAAAGACTTTAACTCACTAGTCCGTGTACTCATGGGTTGATAAT